CATTGACTCTATAGCTCGTTAAAATATCCATAGAGTATCTCCGGACAACTTGTACAAGGTCTAATGGTTACGGAGGAAGGACATATCTGGAAATTAAAGTGGTGATATTCGAATGGCTCAACAGGTTGACTCATTATACTGTAGCCCGAAGGTAACAAATAAAGTAGCAACTAAGTAACGCCCAACGAGCCGTGAATTTCGAGCCATGCGGTCGCTATCCTTTCGGGGATTTAAGGAAATGTGAGACACTGACCCTGAATTTCATGATGTGAAGTGCCGTTGATTGACAGAAAAGTGATCAAGCGGAGCGGTGAAGATATTGAGGCGATGACGTTTATTCTATCTATCATAATGATTTGTTTGCTAAGTGTGCTGTGGTGTGTTGTGGTGTGTTGTGGTGTGCTGTTGGTGTGATGTGCTTGCTTGGTGTGCTGCGGTATGCCTGCTGAGCGGAAGATCGGTGAACAAGTAGCTACCGAATATCTCCTTGGGATCCTCGGAACGCGGATGCTCGAGCACAGCCTGCACAGAGTAGCAATAGAGAATAACTTCCTGACCTAATCCCTACCTACCTATACTCTCTCTGGAGTCTGTACTCACACAGTGTACATTGTACACCAGGCGCACCGACCTAGCGACTGACTAATTGCAATTAGATCTTTCATCACTTCATGACTAATGTCCCTTTAATTGTAAAATGAGACATGATAATATGGATGTGAATATGTTCATCGTCTTTCCCAGGGTCCTTCATGACTCTTCAGGACATCATGATCCTGGACAACATTAACTACATCCACCACATCCAACTTTTTGCTTTTGCCCGTCGCATTCGCGAGTTTTGATATGTAAGGTTGACTTCTGTACATGCGCACGAATTGAATTGTGGATACAGCCTGGATTGACACAAGAACATGGATCTTGACACAAGCAACACAAAATATCAACGGTTGTTCCCAAAGAAGTGATAACCTTATGCATCGGACATTTTATTCATTTCTATGTTTGGTACGCAGAAGCCAATGCTTCTTTGGGAATCATGCATCAGCGGAACCTGCATCGCCTACTTATTAATGCTAGTACTGTAGCTAGGTATTTCTCACACAAAGTGATGGGTTGCGAGGAAACGCTCAACGACTTAATGGTGGGCATCGGCATCAACGAATGAAATCGAAGAGAATGTGATGAAAATGATCGCTTTACGTCCTTTTAGGAAATCTCTGCATACGAAGAGAGGCGCAGAGGGAGGGATAGGAAAAGTTAACGAAAGAGATGATCTGATAATTTGCGAGTTTCGACTAAGTTAAGTTTAATCTAATCTTCTTCTTCATTGGGGCAATGGCAACATGGACATGGACGACTGGGATGAGAGATAGCTTCCTGCTGGGGGGTTGATTAGGGAGGAATATCACATCACATCACGCACCCACTCAAATTTGGGCTGCTCATACTCAGGTCTTACCTTACCATGAGAGAGAAGCAGAATTCATCATCAAACTTCTGGATGCGGTCATAATAAGCTTCGAGGTAACCCTCCCATTACCCCTTTCATATCCTTATGACAGCATGAAGCACAACAATCCTCAAGGTTTTCGGTTCTTTAGGATTTGCTAGCGGCAATTTGCGAGCGAAAGCCAACACTAGGTGAGAAAGAGACTTATTATTAGCCAAAAACGATGAATAGCATGATTTATGATGCGATTAGCTAGAATACAACGGCAACTACATAATGGAAATTGATGCTGTGTAATTCGAGTGTCATTCGAGTGTCAACAAAGTTCCAAAGTTCCAAACAAAGCCCGTCTAATTTATCTACCGAGGAAAGAGGAGAGAGGGAGGAGAGGAGAGGGGAGACAACAAGACCTGCTCTGCTATATGCAAAAATGATGAATTGCAATGGATAATGGATTGTGTGCACACAAATAATACATTATGATCTTCGTCCTCTTCATGGCCTTACAAATCTCCCCGTTTTATAAGTATTTAAAACAAATCGATCATTATCTGAGCGGAAACATTTTTGCCCTGGAAAATATGCTGCAGATGGATGCGATGATCGTCAAAGCAAGCTGCACCTGTCTTATGTGTGTGACATTTTCCCTTTTACCGACTCCTCAGTGCTGGGACCTTCTACTGCAAGAGTATCCCCTGTCCCTGCTGGGTACTCCCCAGGCATTGCTTTTTTAATTAGAAATAATGGGGACACATCTGTTCCCGTGATTTTCTGGAGATCGAGGTTAGGTTATCAAAAATTTAGGTTATAACGGATCTTGGAAAATTCTATATCCGCGAGGCTGTTGGAGCTGTCCGAGAGGCGATTGATGCTTATATCGTTGTATCTTCATTCTATAGCTGAGGTAGCTAATTATGTAGCCAACAGACTTTTGCCAAGTTATCACATCTCCAATTTTGGTCTATCT